GTACCATTGGTCCACCTGCCTGTTTTGGTACCAGTACCATGCTGTTTTTGTTACTATTGCTCTGTAATATAGTTTGAAATCTGGTATTGCTATACCGCCTGGATCTTTGTGTGGGCATCAAACAACCCCTTCTCATTGAGAATCTTTCCTCTTTGCAGCAGAGGTGCACACGTGTGAGCACCTGGGTTTGTTAACCATGTGCCTTGATGCTGAGGTTCCACTATCCCTTCCACTTTAATTCCTTTCAACCTTTGGGGCCTGGGGACAAGTAGGGCCAGAGCCTTTTGACTTGTTTGTTAAGTTGGGTCAACCAAGAAGTAGAAGCTGGAAGAAGATACTTATCAAAAAAGTTTATTGGGGAAAACTTCTTTGAGAGAGAGTGTGATGTAGGGACAGCTGTCATACCTTGAGGCAGCCCGGTGTTGGTGGACATGGGGAAAGAAAAAGGCTGGGTGGGGAATCCTTAAGCTGCAGTGCAATTATAAGAATGCTTTGGTGAGGCTTATGAGGTGAACTTGAACCATGTTTGTCCTTTAGAGGAGTCCCTAACTCCCTGCCATAGAATCCCAGCTGTGCACAGTCATTGGTTGGGAATGGGGTGGAAGCCTCTGCATGGACGTGGGATGGATCACATTGGCCGACTGCACTGCTTACAGTAGGAGATCTGAGAGGTGCATTTTTATGGCCATTACATGGAGTCACTTCTGGCTACAAGCAGCTTCCTCCATTTACCTCAGGCTGCTTCTTCCTAAAGGCTGGGACCAGAGCTGGCACAGTGGGCCAGGCAGGGCCATTTCGATTTTGAAGGCTTGTCTGAATTTAGCCACACTATGTACTAGGAACTTGCTACAAGGACATAAACTTGCTTTCCCTACTTGGGAAGTGACAGTACACACTTCTCGTTTTCTTGTGAGTTAATTGAAAGCATTTTGCAAAAATAAGTGACATATCTGCGGAGAGTTTCAAATGACATTAATAGGGGTTCTTTCTGTGTAGAACCCCTGCTGATACCTTCTTGTTCTTCCCTTCTTTGTATCCCACGTGCGAAGAATGAGCGATCAACAGTGTCACTCGTGGTACCTGTTTAATAACTGTTAGCCAATGAGTGTTCAAAAGAGGCGTTCTTACTCAAGCACCTTAAACCACCAGGAGTGTGGAGGAAGCTTTTCCTGCTCTCTCCTGTCTGGTTATTTTGTAACTACTTGACAGTGCATGGAAAGGGGCCCACTGGTCTGTGGCAGATCTTGTGCCCAGGGAAGGCTAAGTATGTTTCTATCTTACAAAAGTTAGGATACAATATTTCTAACTATTACAGAGGAATGGGCCAAATACAGGAATAAGCAAGGAATAAGTAAGATAAAAATTATTCTTGGAAGAAATTTATTTTCTTTCATGCTTCTCACTCTGATCTATTCTCCACATTGTTACCAAAGTGATAGTTCTTACATGAATATCTGATTATTGTACCCTCCTGCCTAAAATTTTTCAATTCTTCTGCATTATCATTGGACTAAAACATCAACACCTTTTAGCACAACAGAGGAGTCTTGTGGCCTAGAGTCTCAGCCCCCACCCCTTCTCTCTCAGCCCTTTTTTCTCTCACTCCCCCCCCCTCTCTTCCTCTCTTTTCTTTCTCTCCACTATTCTCTTCTGCTCTCACTGGCTGACTCCCAAATGCACCAGATCTAAGTCCCTCTTTGTTTATATGCTGAGTTACTTAGGTTATCAGTCATGATTGCAAACACAGCAACACCAGAATATTAGTGACTACATACTTCAGAATTTAGCCACAGTAGGTTCTAGGAACTGGCTCCGATGCCATAGACTTGCTTTCCCCATTTGGGAAGTGACAGTGCACAATTTACATTTGGGAAAGCAAGTCTATTTTATTTTTCATGCACTTAGTTGTCCAGTGCACATAAGCCTGGTTGGTAGATGGCTTCCTTCCCCCCAGTTTCTGAGGGACCCATGCTGTCTCAGCTCAGTGATTTTGTCTTGCCTTTGGAGCCTTTGGTTTCTTTCTATTCAGCAGATGAGGGTGAGGAGGATAGAAAAGAGAGCCTCCATGCACCTCTTCACTGCTGCAACCTTGCTTTGGCGTCTGTTCCACTGGTGAGAATGGTCCAGATGCAAAGTAGACAGGAGAGGATCCCTGCTGAGCAGCTGCATCCCAGCAGCCATTTTGCAGAGAGAGCTTAGGTCCCAGGAATGTCCAGCTGTCTGATATTACATAGTGCTGCCCCACACGTGTGCCCTGGATCCCAACTCCATGATTCAGCTTGTCTTGGCAAATCTTATGTCACCTTTAAGAGTCATCTCACATGTTGCTTAATTCCAAGGGTTTCAGAGTGTCTTCTACATAACCTAGAGGGCCTCCCAGCTGGGACAGCACATGGCATGCCGTCTTCTGATGGCTTATAGGTCTTTACTTACATAAATTTGAGCTTTCATGGGACTGGCTGTATTTTTATTTTAAAGCTATAAATGTCAGGCACAAAATACACACCTAACAAATGTTTTATTAGGGAAGTAAAAAAAAAGTAAAAAGGTTATTAGATTTTTGGTTTTCTAAGAGAAAGGTAAAAACTTCAAAATTGTGTGTGTCTGTGTGTGTGTGTGTGTTTTAAGAGTGAACTGTGAATTATGTCACATATCAATCCTAACTTTAAATTGAGGACTGTTTGGGCCTCTAATGTTTCTTTGCTGTTTGTTAATAAATCCGTATTAGAAGAGTTCACAGTTACAAGACTACCATGAGTAATGGACCAGAGTTTATAAATGTGAAAGTCAAGGATTATCACTTGGGTTCCCTCTTCATAAAAAGGAATGTTCTGGCATTAGAAGGAATTTGAATGGGGTAAGCAGAGTCTTGATTTTTTTTTTTTAATTCAAGAATATATCTCATAAAAGAGGTCTAGAATTAGGATAACTTTACTGTGGGCTGGTTGTTCCAGTGGCTCAGAGATGTCATTCATGACTTGAGGTCTGTCTGTATATTGGTGCTACCATCCCCAATATACTGGCTGTGTCCTTGGACTGGATCTTCTCATTGTCACAATATAGCTGCCAGCAAAAAATGGAGAAAATATAACCTTGGTTATATCTTGATGAGGAGACAACAGGAACCCCTCCATGAATACACATGCTTCTTTTTGGTCTGAAAGGCTAACTGAGATAGGTTAGCTGATAGGTCTGCTAATCTGCAGACCAGAACTCTCCCAGGACAATACCATCTCCTGGTCTGTTAGATTACTCTGTGTCTATCACAGAGCAAAGGTTTTTGTGAAATACTTGGATGGATGTAAGAGGAGGATATCTCTTGTATCCAAAATTTCTGGGTTTGTTAGGAAGAAAAATCCTGGGAATTCATGCTGAATATTCTAGCAATAGTGTCCACTACAAATATTACTGGAGATTGAACCCAGGGGCACTCAGCCACTGAGCCACATGCCCAGCCCTATTTTGTATTTTATTTAGAGACAGCGTCTCACGGAGTTGCTTAGTGCCTCGCTTTGAACTTGAGATCCTCTTGCCTCGGTTTCCCAAGCTGCTGGGATTACAGGCGTGCGCCAACACACCCCACACAAATATTTTAACACTACATTCAATTGACTTGCTATCTATGAGTGAGCAATCTTCTAAACTAGGGGGTGATCCCACTCTTTCTCTTGCCACTTTGAAGCTTCCAAATTATATATTTAAAAGTATCCAGTATCGAATATTTTGGATTGTCTTCTCCCAATACAATTATTCATTCTTTTTTTTTTTAGGCCTGATAATGGGATTAATTTTGCGATATGCTACGGCACCAACTGATATTGAAAGTGGGACTGTCTACAACTGTGGAAAACTGTCCTTCAGTCCTTCCACTCTACTGGTTAATATCACTGACCAAGTTTATGAATATAAGTATAAGAGAGAAATAAGCCAGCACAACATCAGTCCTCACCAGGGAAATGCTATACTTGAAAAGGTAAGTGTCCTATTGGGACATATATTTTTTATTTCCGTATATCACTGACCAAGTTTATGAATATAAGTACAAGAGAGAAATAAGCCAGCACAACATCATGAGTCTCCATATGTAATATGTTCACATACACATATATGTCCATTATGACACTGAACTATTGGGGCCATTTAGTTGACTAAAATGTCAAAACTTTGGATTATATATACTCTTGTTATAAGCTCAGTTGTCAATATTTTTTCCTAGAAGTTGGGAAAGGTTCTTATTTTTTTAATTTAATTAGGTACTAGAGTTTGAACCAAGGGTGCTTTACTAAGCTACTTCCCTAGCTCTCTTTATTTTTTATTTTGAGACAGGGTCTCCCAAAGTTGGTTAGCATTTTGCTAAGTTGTTGAGTCTGGCCTTGAATTTGTGATCCTCCTCCCTCAGCCTCCCCAGCCACTGGGATTATAGGCAAGCTCCACTGTGCCTGGCTTGGAAAGGTTTTTAATATAATTTCTTTGCAAGTCACAACTCTTTTGAAAAAAATATTTTTAAAAAATCTAGCAACTCTGTATTTCTTAATACCCATTCCAGCTTTTATGAGCGTATGCGCTTGGGTATGTGTTGGGGGGGGCGTGCTGTGTGTTAAGTGTCATGGCATATATTGCCAGCTGGCTATTTGGTTCAAATCTCCCATAATCCAAAAGGAAAGTATAGAGGAATGAAAATTTTTCACTGCAATCCTTGATCTTTTGACTGCCCACACAAAATGCTGGCCACAGTTTACAAATTCACTGACACATGCTCTCAAAAGATCGTGACCCCATTGGTTTAGTTAGGGAATCTTAGAAAAAAATTACAAAATGACTCATCTTTTAAAAATGGCTTAGGGCCAGACACAGTGGTGCACAGCCGTAGCCCTTACAACTTGGGAGGCTGAGGCAGGTTTGCAAATTGGAAGCCAGCCTGGGCAACTCCAAGACCCTGTTGCAAATAACCTAAAAGGGTGAGGATGCAACAAAAATCAAATAAAAAAGCTTTTATTATTGCAAATTTGCTAACTCCTTCAGTCTCTGAAGAAAAACTTCCTGCTGCCCTCAGGACTGAGAGTCAGAAATAAGGTGAGATCACCTTTTGTGATACCTTTTGTGTCCTGGATTATCTCTTGGAGCAGAGAGTTCCTTTTAACAAACAGGTGTATGCCAGAAACCAGAACGGCACCTGACTTCTTTCAGATCCTGTTGGGTTGGAGCTAAGATCTGTCTGATATTGTGGAAGCACCTTCTCTCACTTTTATCCCATATAGACTTAGTTTCTTTATTAAAATATACAAATTTTTCCATTTCTAGAGGATTGGGGTGTGGGTCTAGGATTGAGGTCCTAGGTCTGCCATTTCTCTTCATGTAAGATGAATTATTTCTGGTAATTTTCTTCACATAGTCTTCTATGGTTATTTTTCTATATTAACTTCCTCAAGCACTTGGTTAGAACTCAGGAAAATCAAACTAATTATCACAAAGTTAGACTTAGCTAGGAAAATGAAT